GTCCGCCCAAACTCCTGCCAGCTTCTGACGGGATCAAAGTGGAGGGCTACAGGTGCTGGCATTCCCGGGAACCATCTTCCTTCTCTCCAAACTCCTTCTGGCTACCCCTGCCAGCCCTGTAGCCCCACACCGTCCCGCCGGAAAACACCTTCCACAGGCTCCTGTGCAGCACTTGGCGGGATGGGGCCCGGAAGCTCTCTGAGCTCTCTGTTGCCGTCAATTTCTTGAGCCGCACCGGGCTCTGGCTCCCAGGTCGCGGGCGGCGAAGCCTCCTCGCAGGAGGCCAAGTCCAAGGCGTCCAGAATGTCAACGCCCAGCACCAGGAAGGGCGCCAAGGGCCGACGCGCAGCCGGCCACAAAGAGCTCAGGATGGCCTGAACTCGACTGTCCATCTCGCTGAAGGAAGCAGCTTTAAAAGATGCCTTCTAGCTGCTGGTCTAACCATTAGCACTGCCTGAGTTTAGCAGCGAGCTTTCAGAATTTCACTCCGTGATTTTTAAGCCACTGCCAAACGACGTATCAGTACAGCCTGAGTTCAGTAACGGGTGCTACTGCCAAACAACGTCAACTAGCCCGACATGCTGTGGAATAGCTTGACATGCCCCAAGCCGAAGTCACGGCTACCTTGAGCCGAATGGCTCAACACTCACACCCGTCCGATAGCCCGTCTCGACCTATCCTCCAATAGCACGGCTGGCATCTCAATGTCCTCAAAGAAAGCAGCATGCATCATCGGCCAAAGAGGCACGTCATGTTTTCTCTCCTTTGCAAAGATTGCATTCGACAGGGCAGAGGGCACATTGACCCATGGCCCTTCACGGCTCAGGACGCCATTCACGATCCTTCGGGGGTCGCAAACTCTTGCTGCAAATCTGTTGGAGTTCAGAGCACAGTGAACCCTCCAAGTCCCTCCAAATCTGTCCCGATATTGCCGATCCAGCAAGTCGATTGCAGCGCCCGCGATGACAGCGGCAGCGCTGTGAAACATCCTGGGCTCAGAGGTGTCAGAAGGCACACCTCGGGCCGTCGCAAGCTTTGCCAAGGAGCGATGCTCCTGCGCCGGCCTAGGAAGGCCGTGAGAAGCCAGCAGAAAGCCACTTTGACACAAGCTTCTCCCTCCTTTTAGGCCCTGGCCACCTGTGCCAAAACAAAGCCCGGAGGGGCGCCGGTCGCGCCAAGGGCCTGATCCATTGCCTTCCGGGATTTCGAGAAGTCGAGCTGCGTTCCACACTCACCATCAAAGCTGCAGACAAGCTGCCGCACCCGCAAAGTTTAACAGCAAAAAGAATGGGATGGTCTCCGCCAGTGTCTGCCCAATCTCCTGCCAGCTTCTGACGGGATCAAAGTGGAGGGCTACAGGTGCTGGCATTCCCGGGAACCATCTTCCTTCTCTCCAAACACCTTCTGGCTACCCCTGCCAGCCCTGTAGCCCCACACCGTCCCGCCGGAAAACACCTTCCACAGGCTCCTGTGCAGCACTTGGCGGGATGGGGCCCGGAAGCTCTCTGAGCTCTCTGTTGCCGTCAATTTCTTGAGCCACACCGGGCTCTGGCTCCCAGGTCGCGGGCGGCGAAGCCTCCTCGCAGGAGGCCAAGTCCAAGGCGTCCAGAATGTCAACGCCCAGCACCAGGAAGGGCGCCAAGGGCCGACGCGCAGCCGGCCACAAAGAGCTCAGGATGGCATGAACTCGACTGTCCATGTTTTCAATGGAGAGGAAACGGCTGCGAAGATGCCTTTCTAGCTGCTGGTCTAACCATTAGCACTGCCTGAGTTTAGCAGCGAGCTTTCAGAATTTCACTCCGTGATTTTTAAGCCACTGCCAAACGACGTATCAGTACAGCCTGAGTTCAGTAACGGGTGCTACTGCCAAACAACGTCAACTAGCCCGACATGCTGTGGAATAGTTTGACATGCCCCAAGCCGAAGTCACGGCTACCTTGAGCCGAATGGCTCAACACTCACACCCGTCCGATAGCCCGTCTCGACCTATCCTATAGCACGGCTGGCATCTCAACGTCCTCAAAGAAAGCAGCATGCATCATCGGCCAAAGAGGCACGTCATGTTTTCTCTCCTTTGCAAAGATTGCATTCGACAGGGCAGAGGGCACATTGACCCATGGCCCTTCACGGCTCAGGACGCCATTCACGATCCTTCGGGGGTCGCAAACTCTTGCTGCAAATCTGTTGGAGTTCAGAGCACAGTGAACCCTCCAAGTCCCTCCAAATCTGTCCCGATATTGCCGATCCAGCAAGTCGATTGCAGCGCCCGCGATGACAGCGGCAGCGCTGTGAAACATCCTGGGCTCAGAGGTGTCAGAAGGCACACCTCGGGCCGTCGCAAGCTTTGCCAAGGAGCGATGCTCCTGCGCCGGCCTAGGAAGGCCGTGAGAAGCCAGCAGAAAGCCACTTTGACACAAGCTTCTCCCTCCTTTTAGGCCCTGGCCACCTGTGCCAAAACGAAGCCCGGAGGGGCGCCGGTCGCGCCAAGGGCCTGATCCATTGCCTTCCGGGATTTCGAGAAGTCGAGCTGCGTTCCACACTCACCATCAAAGCTGCAGACAAGCTGCCACACCCGCAAAGTTTAACAGCAAAAAGAATGGGATGGTCTCCGCCAGTGTCTGCCCAATCTCCTGCCAGCTTCTGACGGGATCAAAGTGGAGGGCTACAGGTGCTGGCATTCCCGGGAACCATCTTCCTTCTCTCCAAACACCTTCTGGCTACCCCTGCCAGCCCTGTAGCCCCACACCGTCCCGCCGGAAAACACCTTCCACAGGCTCCTGTGCAGCACTTGGCGGGATGGGGCCCGGAAGCTCTCTGAGCTCTCTGTTGCCGTCAATTTCTTGAGCCACACCGGGCTCTGGCTCCCAGGTCGCGGGCGGCGAAGCCTCCTCGCAGGAGGCCAAGTCCAAGGCGTCCAGAATGTCAACGCCCAGCACCAGGAAGGGCGCCAAGGGCCGACGCGCAGCCGGCCACAAAGAGCTCAGGATGGCATGAACTCGACTGTCCATGTTTTCAATGGAGAGGAAACGGCTGCGAAGATGCCTTTCTAGCTGCTGGTCTAACCATTAGCACTGCCTGAGTTTACCAGCGAGCTTTCAGAATTTCACTCCGTGATTTTGCCACTGCCAAACAACGTATCAGTACTGCCTGAGTTCAGTAGCGGGTGCCACTGCCAAACAACGTCAACTAGCCCGACATGCTGTGGAATAGTTTGACATGCCCCAAGCCGAAGTCACGGCTACCTTGAGCCGAATGGCTCAACACTCACACCCGTCCGATAGCCCGTCTCGACCTATCCTATAGCACGGCTGGCATCTCAACGTCCTCAAAGAAAGCAGCATGCATCATCGGCCAAAGAGGCACGTCATGTTTTCTCTCCTTTGCAAAGATTGCATTCGACAGGGCAGAGGGCACATTGACCCATGGCCCTTCACGGCTCAGGACGCCATTCACGATCCTTCGGGGGTCGCAAACTCTTGCTGCAAATCTGTTGGAGTTCAGAGCACAGTGAACCCTCCAAGTCCCTCCAAATCTGTCCCGATATTGCCGATCCAGCAAGTCGATTGCAGCGCCCGCGATGACAGCGGCAGCGCTGTGAAACATCCTGGGCTCAGAGGTGTCAGAAGGCACACCTCGGGCCGTCGCAAGCTTTGCCAAGGAGCGATGCTCCTGCGCCGGCCTAGGAAGGCCGTGAGAAGCCAGCAGAAAGCCACTTTGACACAAGCTTCTCCCTCCTTTTAGGCCCTGGCCACCTGTGCCAAAACAAAGCCCGGAGGGGCGCCGGTCGCGCCAAGGGCCTGATCCATTGCCTTCCGGGATTTCGAGAAGTCGAGCTGCGTTCCACACTCACCATCAAAGCTGCAGACAAGCTGCCGCACCCGCAAAGTTTAACAGCAAAAAGAATGGGATGGTCTCCGCCAGTGTCTGCCCAATCTCCTGCCAGCTTCTGACGGGATCAAAGTGGAGGGCTACAGGTGCTGGCATTCCCGGGAGCCATCTTCCTTCTCTCCAAACACCTTCTGGCTACCCCTGCCAGCCCTGTAGCCCCACACCGTCCCGCCGGAAAACACCTTCCACAGGCTCCTGTGCAGCACTTGGCGGGATGGGGCCCGGAAGCTCTCTGAGCTCTCTGTTGCCGTCAATTTCTTGAGCCACACCGGGCTCTGGCTCCCAGGTCGCGGGCGGCGAAGCCTCCTCGCAGGAGGCCAAGTCCAAGGCGTCCAGAATGGCAACGCCCAGCACCAGGAAGGGCGCCAAGGGCCGACGCGCAGCCGGCCACAAAGAGCTCAGGATGGCATGAACTCGACTGTCCATGTTTTCAATGGAGAGGAAACGGCTGCGAAGATGCCTTTCTAGCTGCTGGTCTAACCATTAGCACTGCCTGAGTTTAGCAGCGAGCTTTCAGAATTTCACTCCGTGATTTTTAAGCCACTGCCAAACGACGTATCAGTACAGCCTGAGTTCAGTAACGGGTGCTACTGCTAAACAACGTCAACTAGCCCGACATGCTGTGGAATAGTTTGACATGCCCCAAGCCGAAGTCACGGCTACCTTGAGCCGAATGGCTCAACCCTCACACCCGTCCGATAGCCCGTCTCGACCTATCCTCCAATAGCACGGCTGGCATCTCAACGTCCTCAAAGAAAGCAGCATGCATCATCGGCCAAAGAGGCACGTCATGTTTTCTCTCCTTTGCAAAGATTGCATTCGACAGGGCAGAGGGCACATTGACCCATGGCCCTTCACGGCTCAGGACGCCATTCCCGATCCTCGGGGTCGCAAACTCCTTGCGCAAATCTGTTGAGAGTTCAGAACACAGTGAAAACCCTCATTCCCTCCACAATCTGTCCCGATATTGCCGATCCAGCAAGTCGATTGCAGCGCCCGCGATGACAGCGGCAGCGCTGTGAAACATCCTGGGCTCAGAGGTGTCAGAAGCCACACCTCGGGCCGTCGCAAGCTTTGCCAAGGAGCGATGCTCCTGCGCCGGCCTAGGAAGGCCGTGAGAAGCCAGCAGAAAGCCACTTTGACACAAGCTTCTCTCTCCCCTCCTTATTAGCCCTGGCCCCTGTGCCAAACGAAGCCCGGCGGGGCGCCGTCGCGCCCAGGTCCTGATCCATTGCCTTCCTTGATTTCGATAATGGTCGAGCCTGCGTTCCACACTCACCAATCAAAGCTGCAGACAAGGCTGCCGCACCGCCGCAAAGTTTAAACAGCAAAAAGAATGGGAATGGTCTCCGCCAGTGGTCTGCCCAGTCTCCCTGCCAGCTTCTTACGGGATCAAAGTGGGAGGGCTACAGGAGCTGGCATTCCCGGGAACCATCTTCCTTCTCTCCAAACACCTTCTGGCTACCCCTGCCAGCCCTGTAGCCCCACACCGTCCCGCCGGAAAACACCTTCCACAGGCTCCTGTGCAGCACTTGGCGGGATGGGGCCCGGAAGCTCTCTGAGCTCTCTGTTGCCGTCAATTTCTTGAGCCACACCGGGCTCTGGCTCCCAGGTCGCGGGCGGCGAAGCCTCCTCGCAGGAGGCCAAGTCCAAGGCGTCCAGAATGGCAACGCCCAGCACCAGGAAGGGCGCCAAGGGCCGACGCGCAGCCGGCCACAAAGAGCTCAGGATGGCATGAACTCGACTGTCCATGTTTTCAATGGAGAGGAAACGGCTGCGAAGATGCCTTTCTAGCTGCTGGTCTAACCATTAGCACTGCCTGAGTTTAGCAGCCAGCTTTCAGAATTTCACTCCGTGATTTTTAAGCCACTGCCAAACGACGTATCAGTACAGCCTGAGTTCAGTAACGGGTGCTACTGCCAAACAACGTCAACTAGCACGACATGCTGTGGAATAGTTTGACATGCCCCAAGCCGAAGTCACGGCTACCTTGAGCCGAATGGCTCAACACTCACACCCGTCCGATAGCCCGTCTCGACCTATCCTCCAATAGCACGTCTGGCATCTCAACGTCCTCAAAGAAAGCAGCATGCATCATCGGCCAAAGAGGCACGTCATGTTTTCTCTCCTTTGCAAAGATTGCATTCGACAGGGCAGCGGGCACATTGACCCATGGCCCTTCACGGCTCAGGACGCCATTCACGATCCTTCGGGGGTCGCAAACTCTTGCTGCAAATCTGTTGGAGTTCAGAGCACAGTGACCCCTCCAAGTCCCTCCAAATCTGTCCCGATATTGCCGATCCAGCAAGTCGATTGCAGCGCCCGCGATGACAGCGGCAGCGCTGTGAAACATCCTGGGCTCAGAGGTGTCAGAAGGCACACCTCGGGCCGTCGCAAGCTTTGCCAAGGAGCGATGCTCCTGCGCCGGCCTAGGAAGGCCGTGAGAAGCCAGCAGAAAGCCACTTTGACACAAGCTTCTCCCTCCTTTTAGGCCCTGGCCACCTGTGCCAAAACGAAGCCCGGAGGGGCGCCGGTCGCGCCAAGGGCCTGATCCATTGCCTTCCGGGATTTCGAGAAGTCGAGCTGCGTTCCACACTCACCATCAAAGCTGCAGACAAGCTGCCGCACCCGCAAAGTTTAACAGCAAAAAGAATGGGATGGTCTCCGCCAGTGTCTGCCCAATCTCCTGCCAGCTTCTGACGGGATCAAAGTGGAGGGCTACAGGTGCTGGCATTCCCGGGAACCATCTTCCTTCTCTCCAAACACCTTCTGGCTACCCCTGCCAGCCCTGTAGCCCCACACCGTCCCGCCGGAAAACACCTTCCACAGGCTCCTGTGCAGCACTTGGCGGGATGGGGCCCGGAAGCTCTCTGAGCTCTCTGTTGCCGTCAATTTCTTGAGCCACACCGGGCTCTGGCTCCCAGGTCGCGGGCGGCGAAGCCTCCTCGCAGGAGGCCAAGTCCAAGGCGTCCAGAATGTCAACGCCCAGCACCAGGAAGGGCGCAAGGGCCGACGCGCAGCCGGCCACAAAGAGCTCAGGATGGCATGAACTCGACTGTCCATGTTTTCAATGGAGAGGAAACGGCGCGAAGATGCCTTTCTAGCTGCTGGAACCATTAGCACTGCCTGAGTTTACCAGCGAGCTTTCAGAATTTCACTCCGTGATTTTGCCACTGCCAAACACGTATCAGTACTGCCTGAGTTCAGTAACGGGTGCCACTGCCAAACACGCAACTAGCCCGACCTGTGGAATAGTTTGACATGCCCCAAGCCGAAGCCGGCTACCTTGAGCCGAATGGCTCAACACTCCACCCCGTCCGATAGCCCATCTCGACCTATCCTCCAATAGCGCGGCTGGCATCTCAACGTCCTCAAAGAAAGCATGCATCATCGGCCAAGAGGCACGTCATGTTTTCTCCTTTGCAAAGATCGCATTCGACAGGGCAGAGAGGGCACATTGACCCATGGCCCTGGGCAGAGGGCACATTGACCCATGGCATCCCATGGCCCTTCACGGCTCAGAACGCCATTGACAATCCTTCGGGGGTCGCAAACTCTTGCTGCAAATCTATTCGAGTTCAGAGCACAGTCAACCCTCAAAGTCCCTCCAAATCTGTCCTCATAATCATGTTCCGGATCCATAATTAAGAGCATAGCAGCGTGCGCCATGGCAGTGGCAGAGCTGTCAAACATCCTGGGCTCAGAGGTGTCAGAAGGCACACCTCGGGCCGTCGCGAGCTTTGCCAAGGAGCGAGCCCTGCGCCGGCCTAGGAAGGCTGCGAGAAACAACAAAAGCCACTTTGACAGAAGCTTCTCCCTCCAGGCCCTGGCCACCTGTGCCAGAACAAAGCCCAACCGGTCGCGCCAAGGCTGATCCAGTGCCTCCGCGAATCCGAAAAGTCGAGCCGGTTTCGCACTCACCATCAAAGCTACAGACAAGCTGCGAACACGCGTAGTTTGCCAGCAGCAGAAATGGGACGGTGTAGTCGTGAAGACCCAAGGTCCGCCCAAATCCTGCCAGCTTCTGACGGGATCAAAGTGGAGGGCTACAGGTGCTGGCATTCCCGGGAGCCATCTTCCTTCTCTCCAACACCTTCTGGCTACCCCTGCCAGCCCTGTAGCCAACACAGGAAAACCCTTCCCATGGCAATCCCTACTCTGGAGCCATCCAGCTCTTGAGCCGCACTGGGCGCTGGCTCCCAGATGGCGGGCGGCGAAGCCTCCTCGCAGGAGGCCAAGTCCAAGGCGTCCAGAATGTCAACGCCCAGCACCAGGAAGGGCGCCAAGGGCCGACGCGCAGCCGGCCACAAAGAGCTCAGGATGGCCTGAACTCGAATGTCCATCTCGCTGAAGGAAGCAGCTTTAAAAGATGCCTTCTAGCTGCTGGTCTAACCATTAGCACTGCCTGAGTTTAGCAGCGAGCTTTCAGAATTTCACTCCGTGATTTTTAAGCCACTGCCAAACGACGTATCAGTACAGCCTGAGTTCAGTAACGGGTGCTACTGCCAAACAACGTCAACTAGCCCGACATGCTGTGGAATAGTTTGACATGCCCCAAGCCGAAGTCACGGCTACCTTGAGCCGAATGGCTCAACACTCACACCCGTCCGATAGCCCGTCTCGACCTATCCTCCAATAGCACGGCTGGCATCTCAACGTCCTCAAAGAAAGCAGCATGCATCATCGGCCAAAGAGGCACGTCATGTTTTCTCTCCTTTGCAAAGATTGCATTCGACAGGGCAGAGGGCACATTGACCCATGGCCCTTCACGGCTCAGGACGCCATTCACGATCCTTCGGGGGTCGCAAACTCTTGCTGCAAATCTGTTGGAGTTCAGAGCACAGTGAACCCTCCAAGTCCCTCCAAATCTGTCCCGATATTGCCGATCCAGCAAGTCGATTGCAGCGCCCGCGATGACAGCGGCAGCGCTGTGAAACATCCTGGGCTCAGAGGTGTCAGAAGGCACACCTCGGGCCGTCGCAAGCTTTGCCAAGGAGCGATGCTCCTGCGCCGGCCTAGGAAGGCCGTGAGAAGCCAGCAGAAAGCCACTTTGACACAAGCTTCTCCCTCCTTTTAGGCCCTGGCCACCTGTGCCAAAACGAAGCCCGGAGGGGCGCCGGTCGCGCCAAGGGCCTGATCCATTGCCTTCCGGGATTTCGAGAAGTCGAGCTGCGTTCCACACTCACCATCAAAGCTGCAGACAAGCTGCCGCACCCGCAAAGTTTAACAGCAAAAAGAATGGGATGGTCTCCGCCAGTGTCTGCCCAATCTCCTGCCAGCTTCTGACGGGATCAAAGTGGAGGGCTACAGGTGCTGGCATTCCCGGGAACCATCTTCCTTCTCTCCAAACACCTTCTGGCTACCCCTGCCAGCCCTGTAGCCCCACACCGTCCCGCCGGAAAACACCTTCCACAGGCTCCTGTGCAGCACTTGGCGGGATGGGGCCCGGAAGCTCTCTGAGCTCTCTGTTGCCGTCAATTTCTTGAGCCACACCGGGCTCTGGCTCCCAGGTCGCGGGCGGCGAAGCCTCCTCGCAGGAGGCCAAGTCCAAGGCGTCCAGAATGTCAACGCCCAGCACCAGGAAGGGCGCCAAGGGCCGACGCGCAGCCGGCCACAAAGAGCTCAGGATGGCATGAACTCGACTGTCCATGTTTTCAATGGAGAGGAAACGGCTGCGAAGATGCCTTTCTAGCTGCTGGTCTAACCATTAGCACTGCCTGAGTTTACCAGCGAGCTTTCAGAATTTCACTCCGTGATTTTGCCACTGCCAAACAACGTATCAGTACTGCCTGAGTTCAGTAGCGGGTGCCACTGCCAAACAACGTCAACTAGCCCGACATGCTGTGGAATAGTTTGACATGCCCCAAGCCGAAGTCACGGCTACCTTGAGCCGAATGGCTCAACACTCACACCCGTCCGATAGCCCGTCTCGACCTATCCTCCAATAGCACGGCTGGCATCTCAACGTCCTCAAAGAAAGCAGCATGCATCATCGGCCAAAGAGGCACGTCATGTTTTCTCTCCTTTGCAAAGATTGCATTCGACAGGGCAGAGGGCACATTGACCCATGGCCCTTCACGGCTCAGGACGCCATTCACGATCCTTCGGGGGTCGCAAACTCTTGCTGCAAATCTGTTGGAGTTCAGAGCACAGTGAACCCTCCAAGTCCCTCCAAATCTGTCCCGATATTGCCGATCCAGCAAGTCGATTGCAGCGCCCGCGATGACAGCGGCAGCGCTGTGAAACATCCTGGGCTCAGAGGTGTCAGAAGGCACACCTCGGGCCGTCGCAAGCTTTGCCAAGGAGCGATGCTCCTGCGCCGGCCTAGGAAGGCCGTGAGAAGCCAGCAGAAAGCCACTTTGACACAAGCTTCTCCCTCCTTTTAGGCCCTGGCCACCTGTGCCAAAACAAAGCCCGGAGGGGCGCCGGTCGCGCCAAGGGCCTGATCCATTGCCTTCCGGGATTTCGAGAAGTCGAGCTGCGTTCCACACTCACCATCAAAGCTGCAGACAAGCTGCCGCACCCGCAAAGTTTAACAGCAAAAAGAATGGGATGGTCTCCGCCAGTGTCTGCCCAATCTCCTGCCAGCTTCTGACGGGATCAAAGTGGAGGGCTACAGGTGCTGGCATTCCCGGGAACCATCTTCCTTCTCTCCAAACACCTTCTGGCTACCCCTGCCAGCCCTGTAGCCCCACACCGTCCCGCCGGAAAACACCTTCCACAGGCTCCTGTGCAGCACTTGGCGGGATGGGGCCCGGAAGCTCTCTGAGCTCTCTGTTGCCGTCAATTTCTTGAGCCACACCGGGCTCTGGCTCCCAGGTCGCGGGCGGCGAAGCCTCCTCGCAGGAGGCCAAGTCCAAGGCGTCCAGAATGTCAACGCCCAGCACCAGGAAGGGCGCCAAGGGCCGACGCGCAGCCGGCCACAAAGAGCTCAGGATGGCATGAACTCGACTGTCCATGTTTTCAATGGAGAGGAAACGGCTGCGAAGATGCCTTTCTAGCTGCTGGTCTAACCATTAGCACTGCCTGAGTTTACCAGCGAGCTTTCAGAATTTCACTCCGTGATTTTGCCACTGCCAAACAACGTATCAGTACTGCCTGAGTTCAGTAGCGGGTGCCACTGCCAAACAACGTCAACTAGCCCGACATGCTGTGGAATAGTTTGACATGCCCCAAGCCGAAGTCACGGCTACCTTGAGCCGAATGGCTCAACACTCACACCCGTCCGATAGCCCGTCTCGACCTATCCTCCAATAGCACGGCTGGCATCTCAACGTCCTCAAAGAAAGCAGCATGCATCATCGGCCAAAGAGGCACGTCATGTTTTCTCTCCTTTGCAAAGATTGCATTCGACAGGGCAGAGGGCACATTGACCCATGGCCCTTCACGGCTCAGGACGCCATTCACGATCCTTCGGGGGTCGCAAACTCTTGCTGCAAATCTGTTGGAGTTCAGAGCACAGTGAACCCTCCAAGTCCCTCCAAATCTGTCCCGATATTGCCGATCCAGCAAGTCGATTGCAGCGCCCGCGATGACAGCGGCAGCGCTGTGAAACATCCTGGGCTCAGAGGTGTCAGAAGGCACACCTCGGGCCGTCGCAAGCTTTGCCAAGGAGCGATGCTCCTGCGCCGGCCTAGGAAGGCCGTGAGAAGCCAGCAGAAAGCCACTTTGACACAAGCTTCTCCCTCCTTTTAGGCCCTGGCCACCTGTGCCAAAACAAAGCCCGGAGGGGCGCCGGTCGCGCCAAGGGCCTGATCCATTGCCTTCCGGGATTTCGAGAAGTCGAGCTGCGTTCCACACTCACCATCAAAGCTGCAGACAAGCTGCCGCACCCGCAAAGTTTAACAGCAAAAAGAATGGGATGGTCTCCGCCAGTGTCTGCCCAATCTCCTGCCAGCTTCTGACGGGATCAAAGTGGAGGGCTACAGGTGCTGGCATTCCCGGGAACCATCTTCCTTCTCTCCAAACACCTTCTGGCTACCCCTGCCAGCCCTGTAGCCCCACACCGTCCCGCCGGAAAACACCTTCCACAGGCTCCTGTGCAGCACTTGGCGGGATGGGGCCCGGAAGCTCTCTGAGCTCTCTGTTGCCGTCAATTTCTTGAGCCACACCGGGCTCTGGCTCCCAGGTCGCGGGCGGCGAAGCCTCCTCGCAGGAGGCCAAGTCCAAGGCGTCCAGAATGTCAACGCCCAGCACCAGGAAGGGCGCCAAGGGCCGACGCGCAGCCGGCCACAAAGAGCTCAGGATGGCATGAACTCGACTGTCCATGTTTTCAATGGAGAGGAAACGGCTGCGAAGATGCCTTTCTAGCTGCTGGTCTAACCATTAGCACTGCCTGAGTTTAGCAGCGAGCTTTCAGAATTTCACTCCGTGATTTTTAAGCCACTGCCAAACGACGTATCAGTACAGCCTGAGTTCAGTAACGGGTGCTACTGCCAAACAACGTCAACTAGCCCGACATGCTGTGGAATAGTTTGACATGCCCCAAGCCGAAGTCACGGCTACCTTGAGCCGAATGGCTCAACACTCACACCCGTCCGATAGCCCGTCTCGACCTATCCTCCAATAGCACGGCTGGCATCTCAACGTCCTCAAAGAAAGCAGCATGCATCATCGGCCAAAGAGGCACGTCATGTTTTCTCTCCTTTGCAAAGATTGCATTCGACAGGGCAGAGGGCACATTGACCCATGGCCCTTCACGGCTCAGGACGCCATTCACGATCCTTCGGGGGTCGCAAACTCTTGCTGCAAATCTGTTGGAGTTCAGAGCACAGTGAACCCTCCAAGTCCCTCCAAATCTGTCCCGATATTGCCGATCCAGCAAGTCGATTGCAGCGCCCGCGATGACAGCGGCAGCGCTGTGAAACATCCTGGGCTCAGAGGTGTCAGAAGGCACACCTCGGGCCGTCGCAAGCTTTGCCAAGGAGCGATGCTCCTGCGCCGGCCTAGGAAGGCCGTGAGAAGCCAGCAGAAAGCCACTTTGACACAAGCTTCTCCCTCCTTTTAGGCCCTGGCCACCTGTGCCAAAACGAAGCCCGGAGGGGCGCCGGTCGCGCCAAGGGCCTGATCCATTGCCTTCCGGGATTTCGAGAAGTCGAGCTGCGTTCCACACTCACCATCAAAGCTGCAGACAAGCTGCCGCACCCGCAAAGTTTAACAGCAAAAAGAATGGGATGGTCTCCGCCTTTGAAGCAGGAACTGGATTAGTGAGTGTCCAACCACACAAACGAGCACACTTTTTGATCTGAGCCCAAGACGTCTGTCGTACAGGGTGCGTTCAGAACTAACACAAAAACTACGCTCGCATGAGGACATGTCAACACGGCGCTTCAAGACAGGGAAATTTCACACCCGTCTTATCTGTAGTGTGACGTCCGAATCATGCTCCAATTTTGGCCGCTTTGGGCCAAGCCTACTTCACCGGATTATACCGGGAGCTTGCGCAGTCAACCGAGCCGAGTGCGGCGACTCAAGGCTCTAGGCTGAGTTCTTCAATCGCGAAGCGGAGTGCTTTCGGTACCCTCGGTATTCTGTGCGGCTTGCGCGGGCACATCGAGTACCTGAACGAGATTGCGATCAATGCTGTGATTGATCAAAAGCGGTTTCATACTCTTAGTGAGACAATCCGCAAGTTGTAAATGCGTCGGTATCCATCTCAACTCATCGCCACAGGGATGGTACAGGACGTGCGTTAGCTCGTCCTCTTCCCAAAGTCCTTGGCGAAGTCCGGACATCTCTATGGCAAGGCGTTTATCCTCGCAGGACTTTGGAATCGACGCTGTCAAGTGATCCGAAAGGGACCTGCAGTCCGTATACTGCAGGTGGAGCATCGATCTCTTGGCGACTTCTTCCCAGTTCTGTGACCGGGGCAGTTTGCCGAGTACTTCGAGTACTGCTGCTCGAATGCGGTCTCCATGCTCTATGGCATGTTGCAACGAGTAAGCCTCACACTGCAGTGTGGCGCGACAAACCCGTTTCATGGTGGACGAGGAGAACGAAATGAGGTGCATCTCATGCGTTGGCGCGTTCTTGTCCACCGCCGACTGTGCGGAAGTGAGATAGTGGAAACGGCCTCTCTGCGCCTTATGGTTCGCCTCTCCTGCAAAGGAGGCGTCGCAAAACGTGACGATCGCCAGGTCCCCTGTACTCCAGGGTAACTTAGCGCTGTACGTGATCGGCCTATCCGCATCTCCTAACGCCAGTGCTACTACGCGGTTTGCTTCACGGAGCGTATCCACCGTGGCTGTCGTAACACGCTGCTGCAGGGCATTCACCCTATAGGCAAGATCAGGTCTCGTGGCGCGGGCCACCCAAGCCAGCGATCCTATGACGGATCTCAGCGCTGTGCGCTGGCCATTCGAGACTGGAGTCGTGGCCTTTTCAGATTTATGTATATCGATCGGGCGAATTGCACGCGTGTTGTCCCTACAGTTTATACTGATGGTCCCATCGGCGCTTTGCACATACTCGCGTCCGCAGAAACGGAACTTCTCAGTCTCTATGCGACCGATCTTAAACTTATCCAGCAGATTCTGGATAGCCGGCTCGCCTTAGGCGGTAGCAGCCCACAGGAAATCATCCACGTGGGTGCACAAGCAAGCGCACAAACGACCACCTTCTCCTGTAATATAGTACAGGGCTGACAGAATTTGCGAGGCATTTAAGCCAAATTCTCGGCAACTCTCCTTTATACGGAGGTAAAGGTTCCGACCCGCGTCGGTGGTGCCGTACACGGGTACTCGGGCAATCATATACCCGGCTCGCTGAATCTCTGCATCGGGCACACCTTTAGGGTGTTTGGGAACCCGAAGAATGAGGAGGCGCTCAAGGGGTTTCCCTTGGAAGTATGCGTTCGTTATATCGGCTGCTTTGAGCCGCAGGGCCAACGAAACCGCCCATGAACACAGAAGGGCTATACCTTCCGGCTCGGCCGTGGGGCTGTCTGCCCTGATATCCTCCTCATTCGAGATATGCTCGAAGTTTCCACATGCGA